ATGAACGATGTCTTGATCTGATCTTCTTCCTTGAGGGAGATCTGATGATAGCCGGTGTAACAGTCAAGGAAGGAGAGCAGTTCGCAGCCGGCGGTGGAGTCTACAACCTCGTCTATCCGAGGCAAGCCGAAGGGGTCTTTAGGGCAGTGTTTGTTAAGATCAGTATAATCAACACACATTCTCCATTCTTTATTCCTTTTTCGAACGAGAACAGGGTTTGCTAACCAATCTGGATGATACACTTCTTTTATAAATCCGACCGCTAAGAGCTATTTTATTTCTACCCTAATAGCCTCCTTCTTGTCTGGCGCGAATCGGCAGAGTTTCTGCTTGATCGGTTTGGCAGTCGGTGAGACATTCAAGGAGTGCTCGATCTTCTCCCGCGGTACCCCTGGCATGTCTGCAGGTTTCCACGCAAACATGTCGGCGTTGGCACGTAGGAAGGAGACGAGCGCTCTTTCCTATTTGGGGTCAAGGTGAGCCCCAATCTTCACGGCCTTGGAGGGGTCGTTGAGGCTAAGGCCGACCTCCTTGACTTTCTTGGACTTGGCGGAGGCGCAAGGAAGCTCTAGCTCTAGGATCTCCATGTCATCGACAGGCGCCATCTTGGCTTCGGTGACCACGCTAGCCATCTGGATGGAGAGGTCGGTGGCTTCGGCGAGAGCGAGACTCTCTGTCTCGCAGGCGTAGGCAACGGAGAGGTTGGCCCGTAGAGACATGACTCCTGCAGGCGAAGGCATCTTCATCACCAGATATGCGTAGTGTGGTACGGCCATGAACTTGGCCAGAGCTGGTCGACCAAGTATGGCGTGATAGGCGGTGTCGAAATCGGTGACGTAGAAGTTGACATGCTCGACGCGATAATTGCTTGCCATGCCGAACTGTACTGGTAGGGTGATTTCTCCAAGTGGTCTAGATGCCCTGCCAGGTACCACACCCCAGAAGGAGGAGTCCGAGGGTGTGAGATCTGTTATCGCGAGGCCCAACTCCCTTAGGGCCCCAGCGAAGAGTAGGTTCAAAGCACTGCCACCATCGACAAGGACTTTTCTAAAGAGCACCTTCTGGATGGTTGCGTCAAGGACAAGAGGGAAACGCCCTATGTAGGATATGTCTGCCCACTGGTTGGCCCTGCTGAAGGTGATGGGGACCTCGGACCATGGGCCGTTCTCTTCTGCTCTCGGTGGAGGCGAGGCCCCCGAAGATGGTGGCGACCACCTTGTCATGGTCCTAGAAGGCATTGTTATTGCCCCCAGGTGGTCGGCGGACTCCGTTCCCGCCATTGGCGTCGTCGTCCAGCTTTTTGTCCTGGAACTCCTTGGCCAAACCGAGACAGTCTTTCATCTTGTGTTTGGTGTTCTTGTGGAGGGGGCACGGGCCATCGAGGATCTTCTTGTACTGCTCGTCGTAGTTGCGCTTGGCGCACGGGTCATTGACGGCAGCGACAAAGTGGTCTGGCCGGCGGTGGCGATTCTGACCAGGCTTGGATCCTTCTGGCCGATCACGGCCGTTATCCCGGTGGAAACTGCGATCGTCATAGCGGCGATCGTTGTGGTGTCGGTTGTCGGGTGGTCGTCGTAGTGGTGAGGCGGACGATTTGTGCCCATATCTTCGTTGAAACGCACCTCAGCTTCCTCCGCGTTAGCGTACTGGTTGGCGGTCGTGATCATCTCACCGATGCCTGTAGGTGGCTTGTGGTTGAACTTGGAACGGAGCTCACGGTGATGAAGTCCTCGGACGAAGGCGGTGATGACCTCAACTTCCGTGATGTTGGGAATAGAATTCCTCATCTCGAAAAAGCGTCTGATGTAGCTGCGGAGGAGCTCGGATGGCTTTTGGGTGATGTGGTTGAGATCATGCTTGGTGCCCGGCCGCGTACATGTAGCCATGTAATTGTCAGTGAAGACTTTCTTCAGCTCTTCCCAAGATCCGATGGAATCCGGGGCAAGGCTTGTGAACCAGCTCATGGCAGCTGGTGTGAGCATGACGGGGAGATAATTTGCCATGACATTGGTGTCTCCTCCGGCGGCGCGGGCAGCAGTGGCGTAAGCCTACAGCCACTGAGTTGGGTTCATCCTTCCTTCATAGGGCTCGACCCCGGTGATTTTAAAACTATGGGGCCACTAGGACTGTTCGGAGTGCCCTGGTGAAAGCTGGGGACCCTTCCGGGTTGTCGGCGCCGTTGTCTGCAGCGTTGCCGGCGGCGATCGGCTCTAGAGCTGAGTCCGGATTACCGTACTCTTGCTCGTACTCCTGGCGGTGGCGTACTTATTCTTCATGGCGACCGAAGCGATGTTGCTCGATACGCCGTCGTGCATCCCGAAGGTTACTAAGGTGCACTCGAGCGTCCTGTTCGACCTCTTGGTCATGCTGGTGATGATGCTCGGCGCGGTGGCCCCGGGCTCCCCCTGGAGAGGTAGTGACTGGTCGGCGAACCGGCTCTGACTGGGGCGACGATTGGATCTAGGCATAGCTGATCGGCGAATCGTGCTCGTGGAGCATGAAGGTCTCTGATCCTCTCGGATCTCATTGACTTGATAGTGTGCCGCTTTAAGCATAGCGGCGACCTTGGCGAGCTCGGGCGTCTGCGGGAGGCGGGCGAGCTCGTTGGCGGCCACCGCCAGATTGGCGCTTGGAGTCTTGAAGACATCCTGGCCGTCAATGCGGAGAAACTCTTCGTCGATGTTGCGGTGGAGCGGCCTTCCTTGCGAGTCGAATTGGTTGTCACGAGCGGCCTCGGCCATCGCAAGGGTGCGCTCGTTTTCACGGCGTTGCGCGCGGTTGACGTTTCTGTTTTCACGAGCGGCGCGTTCCTCATCGTTTCGCCGTTCCGAGGAGGACTGTCGATGCTGACGTTGAAGATCGCGCCACCATAGAAAGGCGGGAGAGGGGGTTGCTCGGTGAAGGTTTCGGCGAGGGTCTCCGTGGAGCCCTGGGATTCAGAGTCCGGATTTTCCTCCAGGATGGTTTGGAGGGATGCTCTGGGGCCTCGGCTGGCGTGCAACATGTTGACTATCGGCGAGAGCTGATCGGCGATCTGGTCGGCGAGAGGATGGATATCCCCCACCTGGTCGGGCGAATTTGCCCCTCAGGGCGTCTTGGTATGTAGCGGTGGTGTTGGCGAGCCCGAAGGGCAGGGCCATAACCCTCGGAGTTTGCCGAACAGCTTCCAATAGATGTCGGAGGGTGGTCGGCACTGAACAAAAGTGTCCAGAGCCGACTCGGCGATGGAGAGGCAATCGGCGAGCTTCAGACCGACCTGATCGATGGATTCAATCAGATCATCATTGTTGATGTGCCTCCTCTAGTAACGAGGAAGCGAGCGACGAGTCATTGATGAAGACGACCTTGGAAGTGGTTCCAAGATCGGATCTGCAGTTGCAGGTGCAGGGGAGGTCGGCGCAGAACGGATCTGTATCGGCTCGAGGAGCTCTCCGACTCCGTCAGCGTTGATGACCCACGAGATGGATCCGACCGTGAAGATCTGGCCGGGCTGCGGGAGGGACGAAGAGCCTGCGGAAAAAGCCATCTTGTTCGACAAGGAAATAGCACGCACACTCCTACCTGGTGCGCCAACTGTCGATAGAATATCGTCGGCAGTCCTCCGAGGGGTATCCCATGAAGATAGATTGATCGGCAGAGGAGCGCGTGATCAAGAACAAGAAGGCAATAGAGACACACGAGTTATACACGTTAAGGCCGTCAGTATGACGTAATACCTTACTCCTGTGGTCTGTTGGTTTGTATTAGCTATCGTATGATATGCCGTGATTTTGGAGGGGGTCCCTGCCCGCCTTATATAGTTCGGGGGGCAGAGTTACAAGTCGGTTAGATCTGAGAGATAACTGGAAAGTAATAACAGATTATAAGAATCATGGGATCATACGTATCCTAACAGATCTCGTAGTATCTTCAGGATATCCTTCCTATATCTTGCGGGAGGCGCCGAGCAGAATCGTGTCCCGCAAGGCTTCATCTTGTGGGTTGGGCCGCCCCTGGGGGCGTAGCCCATATGGTCCGCCGTGGGTATCCGGGGTCGTACCCCCCACGACATCCAAAAATCGAACGTCTCAGAACCATGCCTGGCCTGGCAAGTTTTTCAAGTATCAAACCAAACATGCCATATATCTTTGACAATGCAATTTCATGGGAGTGTGTTCTAACATATACTATGTACATTATAAATACACAAATAACGTACACAATAGTAGTAATATGGTTTGTTCGATGGATCTTTGTAGATGTCTCAATGCAATAGTGTAAGTCATAGACTAAATGCACATCACTAGTTAGATCTTATGAGATGTCTCAATAATCTGAGTCATAGACTAAAGAAATGCACATCATCAGTTAAATACTACCTTTGTCCCATTGTCCTAAAAAAAAGTGCACATCCCATACTTCGAGTAATCAACCAATCTTAAGTTTGACCAATACATATACCAAAAAAATATTAATATTCATGATACTAAACTAATATCATTAGATTAATCACACCATAATTATTTGGATATACAATACAAAGTATAGTTGATTTCTTAAAAGCACAAACATCACTGTCCGCATATTATCACATGCATAACACTGCACCCACAAAAGATCTCTGGTCAATGTTACAGCAGGTGTTACACAAATCCATTATAATACAACATATCTGAAAACCTTCGTTAATGTCAACTAAAATGCGCTATCACTTGATCTGAACTCAAACCAACAGTCAGATGTTAAACTAGATCACCTTTAGCCATCCTCATCAGAATATAGCAGGTAATCTTAGGGCTAAAATAAACAGACATATATATGACGCATTGATCTCCATAATATCTTGTATCCAATAAAACTAATGACTGGATGCACTACACTCCTCTCACACGCTAAGCTAAGCTTTGAACTTTGATGCTTCACAACAAAACTGACACACATGCATTTAAATACCTTAGCTTGATCTTTCTTACCCATATATAGTATACAGTTCTTTACGTGAGCTCCAAACCATTAGACGACTATATACGTAGTATCCTCTGACTTCCTACAGGTGCTTGTTGTGCAGGCGGCTTCATCTCAAGCCTGGAGCTCAAACCCTCAAAGCCCTTGCTGTCGTCCATGGAGTCTCCCGACATGGCACCCTCGTACAGGCCGGTGACCGGATCCATGACATCAGTGCCTGCACCGTCCATCCTGGTCGACGACCCCATCTGGAGCTGATCGTTGCCGCTCTTTGCCTGCTGCTGCTGCTGCTCTTCGCTAGCCCACATCGTCATGGAGCTCTTGCCACTGGAGCTGCAATGGTTAGGGCCCTTCTTGGTGTCTGCTGACCCAATGAAGCAGCTCTCGCCCAACGTCAGGAAGCCATCCATTGGCCTCTCCATCTGATGCAGGAGCTGGTCCATGTGGCTGCTTCCTCCATAGAAGCACTGCAGGTCCTGGACGGAAGAGAAGCTCGTGGAACTGGTGCCGATGTCAAGCACCGCTTGGCTGCCTAGAGATCTGTACCCTGCGGGCCACGTGGCGCAGTCGCTGGACCCGAGGGCTTGGTATGCTTTCTCCACGATGGACTGCATGTACTTCCCCTGGGCTTCAACCCTCATCTGGAGGTGCTTCTGCACCTGCACGTCATGCATGCATGCAAAGTTCACCCTTTTACTTTTGTTGAGATGATTGAAGGAAAATGCATATATGCTGAGTTCATGACCACCACACATATGAGAAGGACAGAAAAGTTGTGTGTCGAGTAAACTTCCCAAGATTGTTCTTGCAAAAGCGTCTATGATTCGGAACATGCGAACCAAAAAAATTGCCATATATATACCAGGTGACAACTGACAAGTGTATGTAAACTTCCCAGAACGTTCATTGATGCATTTATGCAAAGCTCATGAGCAACGTGCAATTGCCAGAAGAAAGAAACCAAAGCTGTGGTAAGTAAACTTCCTAAAGCACATGGTGCTACTATGTAAATGCATGTGTACCTCTAGTTCTCCATGGAGCCTTCTTTGGACTTCCATTTGGATCCTTAAGGCCTCGTTCACATTCACGCTGCGGCTGAATGATTTACAAAAAAATAGAAGGTAGTATCAGAACCTTATGATCTGAAGCCTGCACTCACAAGAATGAGCGTAGAGTAGGTATATTGTGAACAAATCAGCTCACTCGTTCATGCTTCTTGCTATCACGCCTGAAGAAGAGGCCACGTTACGTTGCATCTCCATTGCTGAATGTGGTCGATCATTGGAAGATATGTGTTACTACTTTTGAAAAATATATATGTTTATACTGGAATTATATAACTACCTTAGCTTGTGAACAACTGAAAGTACTGGACACATGATATATACAAAATGATGATCTTTGCTATTAGGTTTGTGTATATGCGTGATGAATGAATCTAAAACTACAGAAAGAGATCAGGATGAATAATAGGTTTCAGAACATCATATCAGGATAGTTTAGCTTTAACAAAAGGATGGAAAAGGCATACACATATAGCCATATAGGTAGATAGGAGAAGGCAAGGACACCAAAATTATGCTACAAGTTCTAATGATTTCTCTAGATAATAATAGCATATATAGTAGTCTTAGTACATGGCATGCATCTTTACAATCCTAACCTGTATGGTCACCGAACTCCTTGTGCTGCTTCCCTAGCCTGAATTTCTGGCAGAGTGAGACACAGTGCAAATCAGATAAAGAACAGCTTAAACCTAATTTCAACTTATGCATACTGGATCATCATGCAGGTACGTACCTGAAGGTGACTCTTGAGGTGGTAGAGGGTGAGGCCCTTGACTCCCATAACCCTCATGATTGTCTTTGGAGTTGCCTCTACGTACGGCGAAGAAAGGATAGATGCAAAGCAATCAAAATTAACCCATCAAATAAAATTCCCCAGCAAGTAGCAACACGAAACTGAAGCATCTATATTACGTACTGTCGGGGCCTCCGAGCTGGGCGACGGCATCGACGAAGCGGTCATGGAGCTCGGGTGTCCACCGGAGGCGGGGCTTGGGGTCGGTGGTGAGGACGAGGCCGCCGGAGTCGCCGCCTTGGCCGCACATAGTAGGCCGTTCATTTGAGCTCGCGGCGCCAGTGCTGCTAGCCTGCTTCTTGGAGGAAGGGAACATTCTATTCTCTCGCCTCCTTGCCGCGGCTTTCCCTCTTAAACCTTGCTCTCTCTAGATCTCGATCGATCCTGCAGGGGCGATCTTCTCTTTCCGGCTGAGCAGCGATCTGATCTGCTACAAGGACGACTGGATGCAGAGATTCAAGAACATGGAACAGGGTTCGGTCCGCACACAGAACGAGGAGTGTACAATTGAAGTGGGTACTAGTGTTGGTCTCTTCTTCCTCCTTGATGTGCTCTTCTCTCTCTCTCGCTCTCTCTCTGTGCTTTAGACTTTAGTTCGTTGCTTTGTTTCTTTCTCTTTCTCTTTCTCTTTCTCTCTCTGTGTATAGTGTGTAGTCTCCTAGCAGAAAGCTTCCCACGCCCCGGGTATTATTCTACCCGGGAGAAAAGCCACACCGCCAGCTACTCGAAGCCTCGCCAGTCTCCCCGTGTGGACCCATCTGCAGAAGATTTAGATTAACATCTGCATCTTTTACTGGTAATTATGGTCCAATAGCAAATAGTACTTCGTACATATATCATCTGTTTGCAATATAAGGTATCTGAAGAAGATTGTAGGGCGACTGAATGAGATAGTATCTATATATCTATATCTATATCTCTTGTAAAGCCAATTTCACTATAAATTCTATCTCAACATGCAAGTCATCCACATCATCTGCATTAACTATATCCACATCATCTTCCATTAATAGACATGTCATCTCACTAACTTTCAACTTCTTAATGCAAGCTATCCACGTACACCATTTTCACTTAACTTGACTCCAAAAATCCTTGGCAATTTCCACACCAACGCGTGGGATAGTTTTTCAGAAGGTGCAATACATGATCAATTCCGTTAGAAAAGCAAAAAAATAATTCAAGGTTATGGTAGTAAGCTAGTGCATGCATATCAAAGAGAACTTTAATTAGAACGAAGGTCTTCTTGATCAAATCATCAGTGCAATGAATCATCATCGTCAGTGCATGAAAAAGTTGTAAACTCATCACCACCATCATGTCCAAATGATGGCATCCAGATTGTGAGGGAATTTAAAACATGCGCATTTGCATTGAGCCCTGGGACTTGTGTTAGCCAAGTAGACAGATATCACAACGTACCCAACAAAAATCAAAAGGATGTTAAAGTCACCACATACACATCTATTCATCCATCATATATATAGTGGAGCCACTGATGGGAGACCTATAGCTAGCAGTGTCATATTTCCTTTTTGTTGGTACCCCAGACCAAATTATCATCTTCAGATGCAGATATGATGAGCAGGTGGCATAGAGCAAACTACACACATGCATGCATGATTGATCCGTTTAGGTTGATGCATGTTTCAGATAATCAGAAGTGAACGAGTTCAATTTATAGTCTTACTCTCCCGTTTAGTTACTGCCCCTGTCTGGATGAACTCGAATATTGCTAGCTTCAGAAAATAATCTTCATTAATTAAGGGTCTTTTGGGATCCCATTATTCAGTTAACAATAGCTGCTACGAATTAGCTAAGGTCCTGTTTTTATCCTCAGCTAATAAGTTAGTTATGTCTTAGCTCTACCACCAACTAACAATTAGATGTTAGTTTTTCTCAGCTAACGCAGCTAATATATAGTTAGGCTCTGTTTAGTAGCGAGAGCTGATGAAGCTAGAAATATTGGCTTCGCTGGCTCCTAGTAATTTTTTTTTTTTTTTTTGTAGAGAAATAAAAATGAATCATTGCAATGGTGCATAATATTCCCTAGAAACGAGAGCCGTTTTTTAGAAGAGAAACCGTTCCAAACAGGGCTTTAGTTGGGTTGATCTAAATGAGGCCTAATTTGAGTTAAATTCAATCATAAATACCAAGGATTTGTCATAGTTGGTGATTATCTTTACATATGGATGCAAACTTTATAGTAAAACCATCCTATGCTAAAAAAAAACATCCTAATACGTATATGAAAACATTATATATCCAACTTGCAAATTGAGCCCACCAATTAGGTGAAGAAAGTAGAGAGGATAAGGGTACAGCACTATAAAGCTAGCCAGCTTGCTCGTCAGCCGTCCCTAGCCTACACATTCTTCCACGAAGGGGCCTGAGAGGAGAGAGGCATGGCATTTTCTTTACCACACATAGGGAATAGATGCTTTCTTCTTTGTCAATTAAGCAGAGATTCTTATGAGGAATACAGTGGATTTTGCATTGGGTATAATTTGTAGCAGCGGCGGATCCAGGAAAAATTTTAGGGGGGCTGAACAAAAGTGCGACAGCAACATACCTCCGATTGCTGTTCGATCTTAAGTCTCAACCCCACCTACACGATAGAACTTTGCATAAAAATTCAAGGGGGGGCCTCCAGGGCTCCAGTATCGATAGGGGGGCTCGAGCCCCCCCTCCGCCCCACCGTTGAATCCGCCGCTGATTTGTAGTAGATATAAATTTTTCTGTCTATTCTTTGTGCATAATTTCATTTAAACATGAAGCCACTGCATCACCTAAATAATAAGGTTATAATAATCATTGACGACTCAATTTCAGAACACACACGCCCATGTATCACCGATATGATTAATTCGGATATACTTCATCTGTTCCAAATTATAAGTCGCTTTCACTTTTTTAGTATATTTATTTTACTATGCATCTAGATATAATAATATGTCTAGATTATCATAGCAAAATAGTCAAAGCACGACTTATAATTTGAAATAAAGGGAGTACTTGAAAAAAAAAGAATAGAGGGAGTATATATATATATAAGCACACATGCATGGAAGTCGGATATTTCAGTTGCACAGAAAGTCGGATATTTCAGGACAAACATGCATATGTACAAGTACACATGCAGCAAACACTGGTGTTTCAGATCGTAGAGGTAGTACTTTGCATGTCATGTTCGTTTGTCTTATAATCCATATTTTTTAGCTTATTTTTTCAGCGGAAGAATATTTTTCTCTTTTAATAAATAAGCCGGAACAGTGTTTCAACTTATTTTTTCAGGTAAGCCTGTAGCTCCATGAGATACACAGATTCGCTACGAAAGTACGTCCACGTGATGGAAGAGAGACGGCGTAAGCATGACTCCTAAATATGCCTCGCAAAGTTGCGTTCTACTACTTTTATCTCTCATCGATCAAGCTCAGAAATCATACTGTCCACTATGGGTGGTAGCTTGCATTTCAAGCACAGCTCTGTGTCGAGATGCTCTTTGAGATAAGACATGAGAAACGTGTTTGGAAACTTACTATTAAGTATACAAATAACATAGCTAATATTTTTTTTGAAAAGAGAATAACTCTTCTTTTAATATATATATATATATATGTGACCGTGCATGAATGGGAATTTTGTTTGCCCGCTGCCTTCACTCACGCAAAATAATCATTTTGCTAGCTAGTCTTCTCACCATTTTCTTCTTTACCAAATTAGGGATCTTGTGACCTTGCTTATATCATACTCATTCCTTTCATAAATATATATATATATATTTTTTTTTTGAAAATTTCACCAGTTATAGGTCTCTCAAAATATTTAGTTTGGAGATATAAAAAATGGTATGGGCATCTGTTGAACAACACTTTCATATATAATCACAAATACATTTTGTAGAAATTATTAATTATATTTTAATAGAAAATTGTGGTCAAATCGCATATCTCAAAGACCATAATAAAAAGGTAAAAACGTCATATACGTTTTAGATAAGCCCTAGTTAATTTTAGTTTTCTTCCTCAAAGAAGCACACATGAGATTGAGGTTCTATAGTTGCTCTTTTACATGAAATGATTCAGACCACAAAGTTCATATCATATCATATGCGTCCATTTGGATCCTCATATATGCATGTAATGATGATGCAGCCAATGCAAATCTCTCAAGATATTTGGTATGCCCAGATTATATATTATTGTGTGAACACACTTGAGTTGCTTGTCAACATATAATGTCGTCTCTCTTTACTATAAAGAGAGTTCAGTATATATAGTAGACCTTTCTGCTTTAATTTTGTGCTAAACTAGGCCATTCATATGGGCCCTCCGATCCTAGCTTGGCGCGCGGCTATATATATTTACTTCCTCCGTTCCAAATTATAAGTCGCTTTAACTTTTTTTTTGTTCATCAATTTTGTTATATATTTAGACATATTATTATATCTAGATGCATAACAAAATAAATATAAAAAAAAATCAAAGTAACTTATAATTTGGAACCGATGGAGTGCAACAGATGAACTTGCAGTTCATACGATCGATCCAGTGCAAAGTTGAACATATAAGTGTGTTTGCGTATGGCACACGGTCCACAGTGTGTTTGCGCGTTGGTTTCTACTGCCTTTTTCACCCGAGACGACGTGAGGAGGAGATGGAGAGAAAAGCCTATAAAGCTGGCCATCAGAGAAGCGGCAGCGGTGCCCTCTAGTAGCTCGATCTCTTTTCTTCGGAGCACGTCACCCGGTGCGCTTTCAGCGTGGAAGCCAAGCTTCCAAGAGTTCCAGTTCTCGGCACCGACGTCGATGCATGCATGGGATCGGTCGCCGGCCGCTTTGGACGACGGCGGCGTGCAGCCCACGGTTGGAATGTCTCGCAAAGGCGTGGTCTCGGCGGGGTGTAGCTCATCTGTAGAGCTCCACATCGCGAGGCTACGTTTTTTGGGCACGCGGCAGGTGGTGGAGGCGGGCGTCGGAGCAGTGCCAACGCCCGTGCTCGGCGCTCGATCGAAAGGGATGGCGCGGTGTTTCGGGCCGGTTTGCAAGCAGCAGCAGCTTGCTGGTGCTGGGTTAGAATTAGCCGCGCCGAACTGGGCCGCATGCAGCCTCGTCGCCGAGAGTTCTTGGAACACCTTTCCCTTATCTCTCATCTCAGATGGTCTGTGTAATTATATATATATTGAAAAAAACTAGCACTACTTACTTGCTGACACAAGCTTATTAAAGAACGGGTTGCTATTTTGTCAATAACTACATCATCCACTAAATCATAAGTCGTTATGGCTTTTCTTATATCTAGATATACGTTATGTCTAGATACACTATAAAAGCGAAAAGAAGAGAATACGGACATGTTCATAGTTGCAAAAGGGCATACAACTTATTGCACAATGAACTAGATGACTTGTAGCATAGCGGAACCAACAATTTTGATTGAGGGGGCGTACAAATATGATGACACCTAAGTGTGATAAATATATACATAAGTGCATGTCTCAACAACTTTTTTAATATTTTTAAATATGTCATTAGTATTTAAAAAGGAAAAACCATAATATTATGATAAAAAAACATGTGAATTGATGCATTGTTGTGTTGTAAATTGAAATAGTTATAGGGGTATTAAAAGATTTTGCACTGTGTTTGGGGGGGGGGGCTACTAGTTCCGCCACTAACTTATACTGTAGCTCAAAGATTTATTCAATGACACGTCCATTCCAATTCGTCTTGGGATTGGGATATGCATCGTGATGTGTTGTACATTACAATTAGATTTGTGATCAGACTCCGTAAACGTGTGTGAATGTACTCCTCTAACTTGTATGGACACATGTCATCTTTTGGATTGAACTTTGAACCATCTCTAGACACGTTGGACACATGTTATCATTTTTGGATTGGACTACGCATCATCTCTGGATACGTTGACCTAATTCGAATAGGCACGAGAGAGAGTGAAGAGCCCACTAAACGTCGCTTCTCTGAGTTTTGTACTGTGTAGTCGAAAAAAACTAAAACCCCTTAATTTAATTTTAAGGATAGATAGATATAAATTTAGATTTATAGATTGGTTACATGTATATACACTTGAATATGATCCAATAGACCAATTGTCATAAGCATAAGCCATCATGGAAAATGTTAGTCCTTAGGGGCATGTGCTCCACCCCATACACCTTTGGATATGCATGGGGATGTGTGCACTGCAGGAAACGATATATTGCCTCTCTCTTACAGTGCATATGTCCCATGCACATCTAAAGGTGTATTGGGTGGGAGCACATGCCCCTAGAGGCAAAAAAAACCCTTCTAGCCATCATCTGAACTACATAACAAGCGGCATTATTAAACTCCGTCTCCTAGGCTGAATATAGCCCCAACGCAAGTTCTAGAGGCCTTTGATTTGCATCCTCCGCAAACACTGGGTTAGAGATACATAACAAGCAACATTATTAAGCAATAATGCAGCTGCACTCCGTCATTATCTTGATCTGTGTCCGGTTGTAGATATAGGTGACACAGATGAGACTATCATTAGTGGCGGTGATAGTCGGGCAGAAGAACTCTATGGACGCATTATCCTCTGGTGTGATGACCTCCCCTCAAGGAGTCTCCATCATCGTTGCAGACATGAAGCTTGAGTTGCTCTTGGAGTGAGCGTTACAAACTATTGAGACAACTTTGGTCCTCTAGCCGGGTTTAAAGGTGATTTTCTATTTTCTAAAAAAAAAAACTTGGTTTGATATCCAAAAATTCGTATCTTAAATCTGGAAAATATGAAACTCATATAGTTTTGTTTAAATGTTGTATATTATTAATTTTATATTTAGAGTTTTTGTAACCGGTTTATATTTCTATTCACGTTGCTTTACTGTTCATAGTCGTACTCATTATTTATTTTAGAAAAGGTCTAAGTAAATCTAAATAGAGCACAAACATATAGATAACGTTTTTAGAAGTAATCTGGAACTAGTTTCATGTTTTTATTATTTATAAAATAAATTAGTTACGAATTTTTAGATATCATATTAGATTTCTATTATTTTTAGAAAATAGAAAATCACTTTAAAATCAGCCTCAGGAACAAAATTGTTTGATTTGGAGAAAAATCCGCACGCTCCCGGGGGGCCCATTTCCGACGACGACGGCGCGGATCCCTCCTTCGCCACAGCATCAGTCAGCCGCGGCCGCGGGAGCCTGTGGTGCTCTCCTCCCCACCATCCCGTCCTTCGCTGTGTTCTCTGGCGTCGTTCGTGGCCGCGGATCCCCAATGCCCGCCGCCACCCCCTGAGGACGCCCCCAAGCAGCCGACCTTCACCCAGCGCTTCGACAACGGCACAGCGCTCCTCAGCGCCCCGTTCGGAGCCACCGAGCCTCGATGCCTCTTCCGCCGCCGCGCCGCTGCCCTGCACGCTCCAGTTCTCCGGCGCAGGCCACGGGATCCCCGGACGCAGCAACTGGCGGCCGATAAGCCTCCGGAGGAGTACTGGTCATCCGGCGTTGCGAGGCAGCAAAGCAGGCTGCCGCCCAGCCGGCCTCGCCTCCGGGCGCGCAGCAATCGAAGTTATTTCCGCAGGAAGCCTTGAAACAGGCGAATGAACTCCTGGGCGACGGGGACCACAGCGCCGAAGATGGCGGAGGACATGGTGGCGGGGCCGCGGCCGTGTCAGTGGGCGCGGGTGCGGGGGCGGGCGCGGGCGTGGCGACTGCCGGTCTGTTGATGTGGAAGACCGGCAAGCGATCTACTTGGTGGAGGGACAAAACCAATGGCGACAGGGGTTAGAGCAGCAGCTTGGCGTGGATATTATGAAAATTTAGGAGGAAGGGTTCATGGCGGCGGCAGATAATGCACTGCCATATCCAATGCAGGATGCCTACCTCGAGGCTTATCAGTTGTCACACAACCAAAATGGTGCGTGCAGAACCTTTTTGGATTTTGTAAAGTTCTCCAATCTGAATGTGCCTGTAAGGTTCCTGATAGTTTTTGTTTCTCTGGTTTTGTGTATGCAGATCGAGTTTGTGCTAGAGTACCATGTGAATTTTGGTAATCCTGATATTGATGAGAAACCACCAATGTCATTGGAGGAGATGCTTCAGAAGGCAATTTCTTCAATTGACCTTGCACAGTTTATGTTTACCCTCGAAAATGTTTGTGCTCGTATTCACTGTTTTTGTTGTCACTTAAATTAGGGATGCATTAGAAAATTCCAGGCCGTCATACCAGTGTTAAATGAAGCCATTTTTGTACAGTTACAAATTACAATACAAAATGGGTCAATGGTTGGTTGGTAATATTAGATGATCATTACCTGCTATTGCCTATAGGCTTGAGAACAGATAGAACATGTGAACAACATAGGTTGCAATCACGATATTACTCTTGTTTACAAATGTCTACAATTTTGTTGCCCATCTAGCGTTTGCGACCATAACTCTGCTGACTACTATGCATAAAATTTATCCAGATTGGCTTCTTATATTTATCACATCTACTATACTACAGGCGCCTGAAATCGAGATCAATTTCAGGTGTTGCTCTCCACGTGCCGCCGCTGGGTTCGGATTCAGGGGTTTGGGGTTGGCTGGTGCCTATAGAAAGGGGTTTGGGAGGAGGCGGTACAGGGGCGGTATGGCGTGGCAGTGGGGCTGCCACTGGCTGCAGGTGGAGGAGGATGGTGGTTGGGCCAGGTAAGGGTGGGGGAGGAATGAAGATGGCCCGCCAATGCCGGGTTAGCACAACAGGGGGTAGTAGGTCCAGACATGGAGTTTGGGAGCCCACCGATGCCGGGTTAGCACGTGGGAGGCAGGGACAAGGGTCGCAACCACATGCATCAGAAGAAGATGATGCAGGTTGAAGATGACACAATAGCCGCATGATGAAGATCCAATGGCTCTGGTTCATGGCCTGAGAGAGAAAAAAAAATCAGGAACCTAGCGTATAGCAATTCCGTTTCTTTAGGTATATTAGTAGATTTTTATTCAGATATACTAACATAACTTTGCACATCAGAAGCTCGTATACAGATCCTCTTTATTAGATGCCTTGTTCTATATTTCAAATTTTATACTGCACTTATGGAAGTCCTTGCAACATCTCGTTACATTTTGTGTCAGTTCATAACTTCATATCTTAATATACCAACTAGTTCATGCATTCATTAATGGTTGTATTCAGCCTGCTGGTAATACAAGATTTTTTGTGGGGAGTATTTTAACTGGCTCATGTAATCTACTGTGTCACTATCAGGAAGTTGTGAAAGATGAATCACTTGAGCACCCCATATGAAGGTGCTCATAGATGTACCGTGGACCTGATGTTGTGACTGCAAAACAACAAGAAGAGGAGCTACAAAGAGTTGCTAACACTTTTCTAGAAAGCATCCCTTCTTCAGTAAAGCGGTTTACTGACAAAACTCTATTATATCTTAAGGTTTCCCTTCTTGTGACAACTTGCGTTCTGAACATTCCTTTTAGTACCAGTGGATCAATTTGATATGTTTGCATTTTGAGTCATTCAACTTCTGATCCTGAGTCACTGAGTAACATGAGTTGCGTTTAACATTAAAATCATATGACATTATGATGACAACCAGTAGCCAGATTTCTTTAAAAATTTGAGACACCTTCTGTTGACATATCAAACTTAAAGTTCAACTGCAATAAACCATTAGCTTTGCTTTGTGTTTAGTTTTAACATAATATCTCAAATGTTTTCCCTGTTTGTGTAACATCCATATTCATTAATCTGGTGTAGTGATCTTTTATACCCTAGTTATGGAACATATCTTGTGTAGATAGATACATCAATTGATAATGCAAGAGATGTTCTGTTCTGCTGCCATCTAGTTGCTTCCTACCGATTACTACTCTCTTTTTCTTCTTCCACAATATAGCATTACTGATGTCACAAAATTATGATTGTTTTTTTTTTAATTCTGTCCTTATTTCAGTTTGTTGCAGAACAATCCTGGCTGGGATTTTGTCAAGAAATGGCAATTCATCGACAAGTTTACTTGCATATTTTCAGAGCAATTCAGGTAGAAAGGCCTCTTATACTCTGTTATTGTAACCATCTTATTTATCCCCCAAGGAGGTTCTTTGTTTCGAGAGAAGATGTGCGATGCCCATATCTAACCCATGCAATGTTTTTTTCTCCTTTGCTGGGATATTAGTTTGACTTGACAAATAAAATTGTTGACAAACATGGTTATTTCTTTTGCGAGATTTCTCTCGCTGTCAATTTGGTTCTGAGAACCGTAAACATTGCCACCATTCTGTTACATCATACGAAACTCCTGTTCCTTACTCGGGCTTACTGAACTGCTTATCAAATTCTGTTTTCTTGGGAATGAAAATCTGTTAAGAGCTAATCATTTTTTTTCTTGTGTATGAGTTTACACTTTACAGTTTGAATCGACCATGTTTAATATATTTTCTTGTGCTATGGGCCACATCCCCATTTCTGGACCAGTTATTTTCTGCAGTCACTTTGCAATTCTGCAGTCACATTCCCACACATTATTTTTTCATGCAGTGCACAGCTCTGGGAGTGGAAGCAAGAATACCAGAATCATAAGGTGAAACTCCCACACATACCAATATGGCAGTATCAAATTGTCCGTACGGTTTGTCTACTGTGCAATGTACATGTATAGCAGCTCGTACATGCCTTCTCTAAATGCTGTGTGTGTACTTTACACGGCTCTTGATCCCCAGGACTACAAGAGCGCCGAAATGCCTACCTGTCTAAACTCTCTAGAGCTCAAATCTCTGCTCGGTACAAACCGTCCCCTTTTTTCTACGCTATACAAAAGTGAAGCAAATATCGTCGAAATCACAGTAGATTATCTGTTGAATATATGGCTGAAATCATGTGTGCAGCTTGATGCCTGGCAGCAACTCCTCGCTGGAGGAAACCTAAGGTTTACCGGCCAAGTTCTCCAAGCAAACGTCACAGAGAAGTCAGGCCAGCCCTTTCAGTGCCTGAAATGCATCTGGGCATCAGAATCCAGGGCCATTCGTTCGTCCTGAACTTGGCTGCAAGTGAAGTTAGTTACCTCAGAGCTTCCGAGTCGTGCTGCCGTAGAGGCTGGTTCTCGTTGTTCTGGCTGTCCAGCGGCATGTACTGGGACATGATGGACATGATCTCCGAGTCCATGTACGACTGCAACACGACGGCAAAGAGTTTTCAGTTGATCGAGTTGCCATCTGCTCAAACGCTTCTGCATTCTACGGCGTTCACCGCTGAACCATGTATCCTTTTCAGATGGACTTACCCTGAGCCTGTACTTGTAGAAGACGTAGCCGGCGACCCCGATGCCTACGACGCACGCCACGGCCGCGATGGTGATGAACCAGCCGAGCTTCGACATGTTGTTAGCTGTGTGACAGGTCCAGAGGAAGTTCGTCGTCACCGTCAGATGGCAGATGCATAGCTGGTGTGAATGTCGATCACTGTCGTTGGCATATGTATCTCACTCACCTATGCAGACGTCCTCGCCGCGGATGTAGAGCTGGTTGCCCTTGCACTTGCACTCGTAGTTACCCCACGTGTTCTTGCACTGGCAGTCCGGGCATGTGCACGCCAGCTTCTCCCTGCACTCGTCCAGGTCTGGAGGACGACATGGATCGGAACATCTCGATTAGTTCAGTGATTCTGCCCGTCCTGCTGCTAGTGCTAAGCCGTCAATGGTTCAGGATCGGGCGAAAGGACGTGGAGAGAGTTTACCTTCACATTTGTGGCCATCGCCATGGAACCCCGACGGGCACCGGCACCCGGTCAGCGTGGTCTCCTGCGATGATCACCGGCGAGCACGCGGTTAGCGACGGCCGTCACCGGAGAAAATCATGCGAGCAAATGGAGGTGGGCTGTGTTACTGTTACATACCGTGCAGGCAGAGAAGGTCTGTTGCCCTCTCGTCTCCGACCAGCACCCACCGTTGTTCAGAGCGCACCTGCCCGGCCCAATAGCTGAAGCACACACACACACACACAGCGCAGCCAGATGAGGCACACGGCGCAGCGGTATGGCATAAGAGCTTGTTCGGTGCCGTGTTCAGACGAAGAAGACCCTCTTACGTTTGCAGTCAGTGTAGCCGTCGCCCTCGTAGCGGACGCCGTTCACCACGGGGCACTCGCACACCCGGCCCCGGTACGTGTCCTGGCAGGCGGTCACGTTGGTGGCCTCGTCGCGCCAGCACCCGCCGTTCCTGTGCAGGCACTCGTTCGTCTCGATATCTGAAGAGAGGGAGAGAGAAAGGTTGTTCAGATTTCACAGGAACAGCTATTGTGCAAACAGCACTTGGGGCATCAGAAGTGGCCTGTATATACCATGGCTGAGGCAGACGCGGGGCTCGGTCCCCTCCTTGAAGCCGGCGCACACGGCCCTGAGCACTGCCGTCCGCTCCAGTTTCCCTGCACATCACAATTCGTGTAAGTAGTTCATCACTGCACATCACAGTTCACATCGAAGCAAGACAAGCATACTCGTATGCAGCAGCACCAACCTCTGTACTGGACATTGTTGATGACCAGGGTGGGCAAGATGGTGACATCGCCTCGAGACCCGCTACCGATCTGGAACGACATTGCAGCATCGTGACCAGGTTCTGTCAGATCCAGACCTGAAGATAGATATAATTCAGATTGCTAGGAAAGGAAGATCGTCGTGACTGACGAACCTGGTCTTCCTGCTCCTTGGACAGGACGGCGTTGTCGGCGTCGGCCTCGGGGTCGCCCATGCACTCCAGCACCTTCTTGAGATCCAAACCTGGTTCCGTTCCACAAAGCCCGCACGCACGATCAAGAAAAGCACACCGAGATCACCCATGGAGTATATATGCCAGTGCCATGGGTGAGGTATGAGGCACCGGTAGGCAAGGTAACTGACCGAGCGCGGTGACGACGTCCTCAGCGCAGGTCTTGGTGTACTTCTTCTCCTTCATGGAGCACCGGATCTTGTAGTCCATGACGTAGTCCCACCACGCCCAGGGCCGGCCGGTGTCGTTGGCGACGCGGTGCACGCAGAGCTGCCTTAGGTTCTCCACCACCACGTCTTTCCCCTCGTAGCCCGCGCCGAAGTCCCCCTCCGGGTCCGGCGCGCAGTACCTGCCGTGGTTGATGCACTGCGACCGGCACTGCTGCGTCAGCCGGAACGCCTCGGGGCAGTACCAGGTGATGTAGTGCGGCGTGAAGCGCGCGTACCCCCCGCGCTCCAGGAGCTGCGCGTGGCCGCGGAACCCGCGCACGAACGCCATCTGCTCGTCGCACCGGGGGCCGCACTCGTCGTTGCTGTTGGTCCACAGCTCGTACTCCACGCGCTCGTCCGGGTGCGGCATCGACTCCCGCCAGTCCAGCTTCACGATCACCTCCTCTCCCGCGCCGTCGTCGCCGGAGGCCACCTTCTGCGCCATCTTCTTCAGGGACTCGCCGAACGCGCGGTTCACCAGCGCCGACGGGATGTTGATCTTGTCGACGTACTCCGTGCCCGCCGACGCCTCGGGGCTGTCCATCGTCAGCAGCTGCTCGTCCACGCTGTCCGCGATCAGCACCGCCGCCGCGCCCGCGCGCTGCGCGTTCCACGCCTTGAGCGCGAAGTAGCAGTCTGCATCAGGCGGCAGCCAGGTGGACGTGCATCAGTTCACCGGTGAACGGCCGGTGAATTGGATATGGGGACCAATTCACCAATGAACGGCAACATTGTTAAAAAAAAAAACGAACGGCAACATTTTTTACTACTAATAAAAATGTTAGTGAACAGTTGATGCAGCTCCGAGTGCCACAATAGCTGGCCATTTGACTGAAGCTTCAGCTTTGGGAACGCTTTGCTTTGAAAGCAAGGGTGAAGCAGATTGGTCTCTGATTGAAAGAAGCTCCAGCCTTTGCCGCTGACGCCAACTGCTGGTTGGTGCGGTGGTGGTGGAGGAGTAGTCGAATCAGGTGTGTGGCGGTCGTGGGATCAAGTGAGATGTGAGTTAACAATAATCAACAGGGCAAACTACTTTTGCCTCTATGTGTAATCAGTAATCAGAAATTCGAATGTTTGAAAATGTAAATGATGATATAAATTGGGATGGGACCTGAAGGCCTAGATCAATGAAAAACTAATCAGGTGGGGAGTCTTTCCCCCCGTTGACACTCAAACAAAAAAACAATAATCAACAGGAAGTGAGAGCAAGATGACTTCAATAATACTCCACTGGCCACTCTGAGCTAAGGGTTCTTTTCTGATGAATTGGTCATTGTTGCTAGCAGGTTCATGGTAAGGTGGTATGTATCAGCATGTGC